AGATATCAGCGGATGTTTAGACTTAAAACATGGTGTGCATTATGTTGTTTGGAGTTGAATATGAATGTCGAGGCTTACGGACACTTGGATAACATCACACAGGCAGTATGGAGGCATGTTGTTTTTTTTCTGTTGTTTTATTACGTCTGAAGTCTCGGTCACCATTGACTTCAATTGTATCAGATTCGGCTGCAACAAAGTTTACCTTTGAAACTCCAACCCCCCTATCGGCATAGTGTTGAGTGGATGATGAGTGAATGATGAGTGAATTTTCATTTTTCAGTGAACTATCCCTTTAAGTTGTTTGATCTTATGTTGGTGGCTGTTGTCTTTGGTTGCTATTGGGAAGACCCCGGCGACATCAACAATTGCCACAAGTGTAAGCTTTATTCTGCACGTAGCCCTTAGAGTAACAGATATAATTTGAAGTTAATTGCAGAGGACATAATGCTATAATATGCTGTGTATGTCTGGCCACCAGGTGTCTTCAGGGCCATCAGGTGTCTTTAGGGCTGTTTGCTCAGTTTAATGTCCCCTGTGGTCCCAGCTGACACTGAACGCTGCCGAACTAAAACAAAACTCAACTACACTAATCACTGCCAATCTCCTTTGCCCTAAAAGGCACCCAGCTGTCCTAATATGACTGCCACATATAATTTCCATCTGCCAGGAGGTGGCAAGTGAAGTTAGAATGATGAGCGGTGATCAGTGGGAAGTGAGTCAGTCTGATAAGGATAGATTAAACTCTGGCTGGGTGTGGGGGCAATGACATGCTTGGCAACATTCAGATGGATAAGTCTAAGAATATAAATGTTTTGTGAACATGCATGGACACACCAACGTGATCAACCAACTGCCTCCAAGATATTTTCCTAAAGGTTTAGGTGTAGAAGTTAGTGACATAATAATAATGATGATATTAACTTTATTGGTATAGCACTTATCTAAACGAGGTTACAAAGTGCTTCACACAAAAGTCCATGGCATAATGAAGAACGACGACTTTTAAAAAACATGGCGGCCTCCATAGAGAGGACCCACTACCGATGTAGAGTGTTTCAATATAAAGTTCTATTCTAGGGTAAAGAAAACAGCATTCAAACAGTTGAATTGAAACACACTAGGATTATTTTATGTTCAGTTTCTGCCAGTAGCTCCAATTCACCTAAACCTCACACCAGACCTTTAAAACCTTTTTTGTCTTTATCTCTCTACATCTCATTGATTTACTTCGACCCACCCACACACTACAAACAAAAGCTTGAGCCTTTATTGCCTGTTTTTGAGCACATGATGCTGTGGCTGCAGAGTGCCCCTGCATAGACATTTTGTTAATCGCCTCTCAAGGGTCAAAATGCATGAATGGATAGAGCTTAGTTTCACTCTCCCTTGATGTGTCTGTGCCCTCAATTAGACCTCATTTACCTACACATACCTCTCCCTGGTACAGAGTTATCTGTGCAATGGTCTCAGTGACACCCACAGTGATCTCAAGGCCTTGAGGCTTAATGCTAACATTGTCAAGGGCATGTTCAGACTAGATGTCCTTACACATGAAAAGAGACCCACATCTAACATAGAGATTGCATATGAGCAATGTTTTTGAACCAGGAGCGTACTGATTTTGTGGTAAATACCACATACTTACCACATACTTAATGGTTACACATGTATGTGTATTTGTTTGGTTTACAGTACTTTAAAGTACCAGTACTTTTACTGTGAGGAGTTTTGACATCAAAGGGGATTTAAATTCAGGACATCCCTTCATCTGACAGTTGTGTTTCCCAGATTAGTTTTCATTTGTCTTTGTACACTGTTATTGACAGTGTGATTTTGGTTGTGTAGTGAAAGCATTGTTGCCTCAAAGCAAGATGTCCCTGAAGGTTGAATGCGGGTTCGCCTGGGGTCTTTGTGTGTTTGCATGTTCTCCCAGTGTGTGCGTGGGTTTTCTCCAGGCAATATGCTGGTGACATTTTCAAGGGTGTGCCACACCTCTCACCAAATGTCAGCTGGGATTGGCTCCAGCTCCCCCCGCAGCCCTGAAATGTTTAAGCAGTATAGATGATTAATGGATTGAATGACTTTGTGATTTTTAAAAAACAAGGTCTTGGCTGGATTTTTTTCCATTAATTTAGTCCCAAACAATCTCTTTTTTGCTTTTCATAAAAACTTTATCATCCTCTGTTACTTGTCAATCTTATACTTGGAAAAGCTGTGATATTAAATGAGTGAAGAGGAGTTAGACAAAATGAAGAGTGTGTGTGAATATTTTAGGGATGTGTGGGAGATGAGGTATAATCAACAAGGTGATAATTTCACACCCACACAAATGCTAACGCCAATATTGTGACTACGCCACTTGCGTTCTTAATCTCTTTTTAATGAGAAGTCAGTAACACTTACACACACACACACACACACAAATGTGTATGCATGTACATATTCAAACAGAGAAACTGCGACAGTCCACCCAGCTGCTGTCTGACTGGCTTCTGTATTTGCTGCAGATAGTTTTATTGTTAAGTTATTTTCTAAGTCAGATAGAGATGAGTGTCCATCCTACTGTTGTCATAAATAGAATAATCTTTATTTAGATTCATCTGCTTTTGATGGGATGTGAATCAAATAACACATTGAACATGCACACATACATCTGTTACACTGAGCAACAAGAGAATACATTTGAAGAGGAGAACGACTAATTTCACACACCACAAGTTACATTAAAAGAAAACAGTAATGCAGAAGAGGCAGTAGCTTTAGACATATTAGAAGAAAATTGACTTTGCCATCATTATTTTGCACGTGTGGCAGTCCCTGAGCACGCGTGCAATCTTTTTCCCATCATCCCAAGGCTCACAAACCTGAATTGTGTTCCATCACAGGCAGCTTGCACAACAAGCCTATTCCCTAATTGGTGCTTGAGCTTTTAAATTGCCTGTGTTTGCTCACAGCCAAGAAGTCTCCCAAAATGGTAATCTGAACACCCCCCCACCCACCCCCCACCTCCTTTAAAAAAAAAAAAAATGAGAAGAAAAATGAATCCAAAGTTCTGCATTAAGCATTAAGTGTCCCTGGCTTCACTTGGAAATAAAAAAGTTACTCCGTAGGAGACAACATAACATTTTATGGGGAATAATTGATTCACATATTTACATAATACATAAGTTAAATATAACAAACTTGAAAAAGTAAACTTTTAATGGGTCTGCTGCACACAAAACTCTGTGTAATCACCAATCAAGCTTTATGCCCCACCACTTGTCACTCATCTTGATGAGCTGTCTGGCGTCTAATGATACAAATCTGGAGGTAACAAGCATTCAAATGGCAAACAGACAATGTGCTCCAGAACAAAGCAACTCAGAATTTAAACACCTTACTGTGTCTGCACTTTAAGTTTTGCTGTTATCATTTGTATGTCATTTCAGAATAGCACAGGCCATCACTAATTTATGTCCCACAAGGTTTAATCCTAGATATTATTCTCTTATTAAAGTCATTAAGACATTTAGGCCTTTCACTGCTGTGAAAACTGTTAGATTTGTTTCTTTTTATAGTCTTTTCATTGTAATTTTTGTCAAAGGACTAAAATATGGTTATTCCTTGTAGCAAACCTCTGACAGCCTTATACAACCTGTAGATCTCACTCTTCATTAAGTCAAAGGGAGCCCATCTGTGTCACATTAGAAGGTTGGTTTATTATTCTAGATCCCCAACGTCAGATAGCGCTGCCACTAAAAGTGTTCTTGACTCAGCTATATGAGCAAAAGATGTTTAAAGGTCCAGTGTGTAAGATTTAGGTGAAAGGGAACTATTGGCAGATATTTAATGTAGAATAATCCTCATTATGTTTTCAATAGTTCATTTCATCTAAATTGTATGAATTGTAGTTTTCTTTACCCCAGAAAAGACCCTTTATATTTAAATACTTTATATTTACATCGAGGGGACCCTCTTTACGGAGGCTGCCATGTTTTTCCAGACTGGACAAACTAAAGACCTTTTGCAACTTCAACACTAGATGTCACAAAATTCTACACACTGTACCTTTAAAGAAATACTGCTATTCAAAGAAATGATGTGTCAACATATAAGTAGTATTTCGTTATGTAACTGGTTAAGATTATACTGTTAAATCGGTATTTTACGGACCATTATGTTCAACATTCCATAGTTTTTGCTGACCTGCCGCTGCTGCTAAATGGGGAAACACAACGAGGGAATTAATAGAGCATCTATCTTTTGCTTAAAAAAGTGAACAAAAGGTTGAATTCCTGCTCACAGAGGCCTGACACAATTCCATGACTGTTTTAATGTGCAGGAAGTCAACCTTTTATTTTACATGACTTAACTTTCCTATGCACTTGTCCACCAGTTGTGCATGAAATAACCTTAATAAAAAAAATTAAACGCTGGAAAAAAAAGTGCTTTTTTTCTATTGACCGACTATGTGTTCTCTTCCTTGGTTCTTTTATTTGTCTTTTATCAGTATTATTTAAGTATCACAACATGCAGCCAAGAAGAATCATCGAGGCAATAATGACCAAAGTCACATTATTATAATGTTTCATTGTTGAGTAGAGATCCCTCCAGTTCACTGTGTTTGCTGGAGAGCAAATGGCTTTTCGGAGCCGTGGCCCAGATATTTACACGCTTGCTCGTGCATTCTGCCTGTGATGTCGAAAAGTTAAAAAGACTCCAGAAGAGGGATGTGGGAACGCAGTAATGCTTTGTAGTTTCGCCGTGTTGCTAAAGGGGAAAGAAGTATTTTGTTGGTTCAGCTGTTTTCATTCCTATGCTCCCTTATCTCATTAGTGGCAGCATGTGACCTCAGTGTTTAGTGTACATACATTGGGGTTCAACACACCACTTTCATGTGTTCCTGTGGACTTTACTATGAAGAAAATAAATAATTTTTAGACTTCTCATTTAGTTTTTCAAAATGTATTCAATGATTTTTACCTAACCAGTTCCCTCACCATCTGTCCTTTCAGGGAACTCACCTTCAGAGGAGTCAGAAGAGCGTGACAAGGAGCCCAGGACGCTGACCTATCCTGCGTATGTCGCCAGCCTGCTTGACACGGGTGCAAAGCGAATGGCAGCCGGTGTCCGGATGGACTGTACCAGCCAGGGCCAATGCCCCCGCTCGTGCCACCTCTGCCACATGAGCCCGAGGGCGGCACAGGGGCGGCAGCAGTCTGAGCCCGTTCTGCTGCAGATTACAAAGGCTGCGCCCATCTATGAATTAGTGTCCAACAATGAGACATACCAGGTGCGTACTGTGGTTTAGGCACATACGAGCTCGGACTGTCTAATGTTTGGAAAAACTGTCCTTACTGCTCACGTTATATAATCTTTCTGTCACAACCACAAAAATGTGCTACATCTTGTCTCAAACCCTTTTGAAGGGATGATCTCACTAAACCTTTCATGTGTTAAAGGAAGCTCTTACTATCCTATGTCCTTGGTCACCCTTTGTTCAGTAAATTCAAGTTCCACTTTTTAGACAAGGTAAACTTTTCCCCCATTTTTTCATCTGACATACCTTAATGTGTGAGGACAGTTTATAACGGCAAAAAAATCCACCCAGGCGTGTTTATAGGGATGTGATCATGGAACCATAGTCGGTCAATAGACATCCTGCAAGGAAACACTCCATGTGGCTTGTGGCTGTACAGACAGCGAAGGATCCATCAGGCCTGATAGCCTCATGTCATATTTCTTTCTCACAACTGGTTACAGAAACCAGGGATTTATACAGGGAGGTTTTTGTCTTATCCAATATAAAACCCTCCTCTGCTGGCAGCATGCTGTGCCTTAATCTGCTGTAGTATGCTGAGGCTTATTTGACTTTATCGATACTGTTTGTCGAAGCTGCTTCTAGTCCTCCAGAAGAGAGGTCGATACTAGGCCGTCCACACACCCCACCCCCCCAGGGTGCCAGGCTTTCATCGTGAAGCACAGGCAGACAAATACAGCCGCTGTTATTGACGGGAGTTGTTTGGAGGTTGCTGCTGCTTAACTGTGCAGCTACTTGTGTCCACATGATGCACAGGCAACATTTTGAATTAATTGGTCTGCGCATACCAGGACCACAACTACAAGGGGTGTGCATGTACAGTGTATGTCTCTGGCAAATCAAAATGCACGCTAAACGCATTATCAAAAATTAGATGCAAAAAAAAAAAAATAACTGCCAACATGCAGTTCAGCACAACAGATGATCTGACTTCCAAAATATACGAAAACAAGTAAAACACTTGATACATCTGAGAGTCACCTCCGGTGCCAGAACAATCATTATGTAGAACACCAATATTTCGCTATTGAACATATTCTGTGAAATCTCCAACAGTACGTTGGAATTCAATATATATTCAGACTATTGTCTTAATGGGGACAAATACCTGGTATTCTCAATAACATCTCAACAACTTACAATGGTGTCACTTTGTCACCAAGAGCACATGACCTTTAAACAGTAGATGTACAGTAACAGAATGTAGCAAATGTCAGTCTAATTTACAGCAATTCATTGTTATGTTATCGGTTTACAGTGTTCATTAAACACGTTTACCGTTGTGTGTGAACATGTGCAAGATGTGCATAGATTTTAAATATGCAGGGTTTTGCTGTTTGAGCTTCATGGAGAAAGATTTTATTGAACCTGTGAAAAAATAAAACAATTCCTTGTAAGTACCCAGTACTTTCCACATAAATGTTAAAAACACTTTCATTTCAAGTACTTAATTAAAATATGGAATGAAAATTTTTTTTAAATACAGTCTTTGAATTTTAAAAACTAAAAAGGAGTACAAACATTTCAGATAGGGTGCAATCTGACACACACACACACACATACACACACAGGAGGCACAGAAACACCTGTATCTGTTTTCAATGTTATTTGAATTGGTGGTTGTGTATCAATTTAGCTGTGCGTGTGATTTGAAAATCACTATACTCAGAGTTGTAGGGAAATACAACTATATTGCATGTGGTTCCCCTTCATCTCTTTCTATCCCTACATCCTCACATGTACCTTTGTAATATACAAGCTATGTAAAGCGTGTAAATGTGGATTTTCCTGTTTCTGTCTCTCTGCACAGTCTCTTCAGGAGGCAATGATGAGCATGCTGTGGTGTTCAGGGAAGGGCAACGTTATCGATGACTGGTGTCGCTGTGATTCCAGCGCTTTTGGCACAGACGGACTGCCCACCTGTGCCCCACTTCCCCAACCTATGTAAGTAACTTAGAATAACATTACCTCCCTCCAAACACATTACTCTCAAATGGGTTGAGGTAAATACCATCCATCATTTCACTGGCAGAACTCTATCTCCCGCTGCAGTGGTCTTGAGTAATGTGCCACCGGGATGCATGTTCACACTGAGTTGTGTTCCAACCAAGTAGAACAGCTGTGGATGGAGTGGACTTACTGAGTGGACCTGTTCGAGGATCAGGGGGCCACCGGATGAGAGTGACTGCTTTCATTTCTGTCTGAAAAAATGGCAAAAATAAGCACAAAGACATGCAAATCAACTTCAAGTACATGTAAAACAGCAGCAAAGAGATAGAGAACAACCATAAAGAAATGAAAAACATCAACAGAGAAACAAAGCAACCACAGGGGTTGGTTCATGTGTCAACATCGTTACACCAGTCACTGATAAATTCCTCCTGTCCAGTTGGTGGTGTGCTAATCAATGAAATTAGCCACTGTATTGATTGTTTGGAATGAAAGCTGTACAAATGGGCTCCAAAGCCACGTAGCTGCTGCGGATGATCTGTCCACTGTCGGACATAACATATCGGAGGAAGTGGCTATATTTTCTGTTGACAGAGTTGTTTGTGATTTGAGTAGTAGCAGTAACAGTAATGAGACCAGTCTGCTGACAACATCTTTCACTCAGCGTCAAGGCTTTACATCTCCGTCGCTCTGTTGCCAGGCTGAAGCTGTCGTACACCTACGAGCCCAGCAGCTCATTGGTCATCCTGGAGTGGAACCACACGGAGCCACCAATCGGTGTCCGCATCGTTGATTACCTCATCAGCCAGGAGAAGGTGACAGAGAGGACCGACCACTCCAAAGTTGAGACAGGTGCGTGGGCCCAGAATCCCCCATATCATGAGTTTGGCAATTTATGACAAACAAGATCCAGTTAGTGGAAAACTGTGAATGGGTTAATGTTGTTCCTAACCCGAACACTTTCTAATCCTGCACGAGGCTCTGTTGATGATTTTGTGGAGCACTTCGACAGGGGTAATGAGTAAATCAGTTGGCGGTGTTTGTATGGGCAGCTGTTGGCCGGTGTTCATTATTTATGCTGGCTCAATTTGCTAATTTGTCTGCACCATGTGGCCACAAAAGCCTAATTTGTTTTATCTAGTCGACCACCTGGAAGGAATCCTGGCTTAGGGGTGAGAGAGAAGGGATTTCATCAATCTGTAGCTGCACAGTTTACACTAAAGTTTACCACCTGGCATCAACCCCACTATAATGCTGTAAAAGCATTTGTGAATTTTTATCGTTGACATTTTACACCTTAGTTTTGGAGTTTTACAGAAATTAAGTAACAAGCTGTTGTGGCCACAACCTCAAAAGGATACTTGTGGTTAAGACAAAATCTTTTATCAACAGAAAAAATAGTCATTATATTACACAATGGGTTTGGTGGAGGCCTGGGAACATCTGGGACTTAAACAAAAGAAAGAAAGAAACAATAAGAACTGTGCCACAATGACAGAGGCAGAGAGAGAGCTCCTCCTCTCCAGCCTCCCTTAAATCACCCTCCACCTCATCTCATCCCAAGCACCTGAGAAAATGAGAATGGAAAAAAGATATTTGAGATTTACTGCATCTTTCTGAACATTCTAAAAACATCACTGTGATTACCGCAGTCCTATTTCACTTGTAGTTTTCAAGACCTCCACAAGATGGTGTACACCAGTAATAATAATACTGGCATATTAAATTGTAGGATTTGGTTTGTTGATTATACTGAAAACCAACATAATGAGCTGATGTTTTTATTTTATTATAAATACACATTTTATCTCCTGTAGGTACTGTAATTGCTTTGAGTGTTGCTGGAAATAAGTTGTATATTGTAGCACTGGTCATGACAAATCAGTGACGATGCTATTTAGTAATTATTTTCTTTTAGAAGCAGCACATTTGATCAGATTCAACAGAAAAGTGTTACAAACTTTTTTTGAAGAGGAATCTGTTTTACCATTAAATTAAATCCATATCAGAATCAGGTTTTATTGCCAAGTAGGTTTACACATACAGGGAATTTGTTGTGGCATGTGATTAGCCTAAATATAAGAATATAAATGCAAAACACTACTAAAAGTTCTGTATATAGTGAACAGTAGATATGAGCATTTGTACAGTGTGACCATTATTGGCCAGGGAGAGTTCCAATTTCACAGTAACAGTTGAATAACCCGAGAGCAGAACACAGAGACTGATTCAGGATTTATTAAAACTTGCAAGCGTCAGATGGACTGGGAGACTGTTGAGACGGTGTTAGTGCAGAAAATTGAGAGCAGGAGTCAGACAGAGGAACTGAAGCTACAGAGAGAAAATGACTGGCTGGCAAGAGCAAGGAACAGTATCTTTTTTAGAATGGCTGGAAATGCAACTGACTGAGCAAACAGTGTACGATCCGGCAGAGTGTTGAGGAAGGAACCAGGTATTTGTATGTGAGCAAGATGATGGTGATGATGGCAGCTCGTGGTCTGACTCCTAAACACCTGACTCCACTACACACACACACAAACAGAGGAAGAGAGACACACTGCAGGTAGACAGAGATGGAGGCCCTGCCATTTTTAACAGTGATGAGGTCCCAGGCCTTAATGATGAGCGGATGGAGGGATAGACTTCAGATGTGTTTCCTCTCATGTCTTGAGTATAATGAAGGACACAGAGAAGAAGCAACAGGAGCAGCAGGGGCGTGTGCAGCACTGTCATCCATAACAGAGGGTCCAGCTTATTTGGCCCGACCTGCATATATGAGCCAGAGCTGGCAAAACAAGGGCAGTTTGTTTTAGCAGTAATGATCCAATCCATAATGGGGACTGTTGCAGCTCCCTGTGAGTACCAAAGTTTGTTGTAGCTTAATGAGAGCATAAACTGTGTTAGTCAGAATAGTGGCGACCATTAATCAATGCAGCACATTCAGAGGAGAGGAGCAGGAGAGTGTTTCCTTTATTACTGTTATTTTGCTATAATAAGTCATGCAGTGTTATGGCTGTGAGGGAGTCTATTTGTTTAAAAAGAACTTGTACCATTAGTTGGACCATTTATTTACATCATCAGTCAGTAATTCAAAGCTTCAGCTGCAGACTTAACACACTGCTAACCTTTCTTGATAAGGAAAGGTTTAAAATAGTGGTTTACTGTGTAAAAATATACAGCTTGTCTCTCACTCTCCTCCCCTCTTGTATTACAAGTAAATTTTTTAATGAAGCATATGACTTTGATGATCCATGATCAAAGGATATTTTCTGTTTTCTGCCTCATTTTATCTGAATTCGACTGTGCTGACATGCAGCTGTAAGAACACAGTTATTTATTTAAAAGAATCACAAAGGGCTATTTATAGGTTGAAATGATGACTGTTGTTCAGACTTTCAGTAAGAAATAAGATCCACTTTGATCATTTGTTCTTGAAACATGTGTGGATAGATAATGAAAGGTGGAATTTATATTAATATTACATTTGCAATTTTTGGGGAGTATGTTACTATGACTGTGGTTTCCTAGTAACTATGGAATTGATTCGTGGCTCGGTGGTTGTGGTTGCCAGTCAGTCAGTCAGAGAGTGGAGCCACACAGCTTTTTTGACCTCTCTACCGAACACACTCTTTTCATTTTGGTCCCTGCGTATCAATGTACCAGTTATTTTTGTGTGAAAAAAAAAGTTTAACTTTTTATCTGAATCAATCTGGAGAGAGTCATTAAAGCCTCAAGCTAAGATGCATTGATTGGAAACCTACAACAGTAAAACATAATGTGGACATCATCTGCTATTCAGATTCTATATGAAATGTTTTCATTTACCAAAACACAAAATTATTAATTAAAACTGGTAAATATTCCCTATTTGATCGGGATAGTGAATAGTTCATATGTTCTTTAGAGGCATTTTTGAATTGAAAGCCTGGAGTGTAAGTTTTGTGCTGCTTTACTGTAGTGGCGCATGTTAGTAATCATCATTATTCATTATGACACAACGTGGCTGGACCTTGTTTTCTTTTTGGACCATGATCCTACGTCTCTTTGCTCTTAGTTTTCATATTCTAGCATATTACATACACTTACTGCAGTGAAATCTGTGTGCTTATTTGATTTAATGCAAATTGATTTGTGAACATCCTGTTATCACAGTAACAATATCATCTTAAACTTGATATTAACCTTCAAGATGAGAAATCAAAGAAAGCCACCCCACATGAACTTATCATATCAGTTACTACACTGCTTTACGTGTACAAATTCCTATATTTCCTACCAAGATTCCCACATGAATCCTCTGGCTTTGGGTTAAGTTTTCAAATTTCCCTGGGTGGGAATCTATAATGTCTATAATGGAAAGAGCAGTGGAACTGCAGCAGCACAAATGAATCTTTAATGCTGGGGAGGCATTTTGACGTGGAACAATGAAATATTGCTTTCATGGCCAAAGTGACCTTTCAGTTTCTGTTTTGAAGTTTTGGAACATTATTTTCTCGCAGTGCCCTTTGAGCACATCGCCTGTGTCAGCCCACAATTACCACTGTGTTCCAGAGCCTTACAAAACAAATGTTTGTCCCGATCCTCTAATCTGTGCTGTCAGAGGGATAAACAGAGAAGATGGAGATGGTGGCCGCTCCACCATCCGGTATGACTCTCTGTGGTTGAGAGAAATATTTTGGAGTTGTGGTGCCTTGATGTAATGTTAACGTAGTTTAAACAAACTTCTTATCGTGCCTCAAAGTCAATCTCTCAGGCATCAGAATAGTACTAGTACTTCATGATCAAAGTTTTAAGTTTTTTGGAAAGAGCTAATCAATATTTAGTTTTTTGATGCAACAGGAACTGCTGCAATCTGAAACACAGATTAAGACATTACTGCTAAAGTAACCCGCTGATGCTATCAGTTGGTGGTTGATACATGCATGCAGCTTTAGAGGACACATAGATGAATATTCCAATCAGATAAACAGACCTACAACCTACGGTCTTGTATCTGAGATAAGATACTGCGGCTATCATTGAATTTGTGGCGATGTTTTTATGGAAATTAGCAATGGTACTTGGAGAGACCCACAGAAACTGCGTCACAGGAATATTCCACTCTTAACTGTTACTGTCATGCTGAGCCTTTCCAGTTCACAGATTCTAAATAAGGCATTGCTTGTTTCCATGGTGTCATGCACTTCAGCCATCCTCATTAAACTAACGGAGATTACTTTCTCGCGCAAGGGGACATTTTTACTATCTCCTCAGCTCTTCTTGCTCCACAAGGATCATTTCTTGAAATTTTCCAGCCAGTTTCATACCTAATCACCAAGCTCGTCCCTAGGCCCTTACTGTATATGCAGATATTATGTTGTGCTTTCATCGCAAAAACAGACCCCGGTCTGTACGTTAATTGCCTCAAAACAGACTCTCAGAGGCAACACTTGCCTGGGAGGTATAATCCATCACTGCAGAATGTGAGTCGAGGATGATTTCATCAGGCTCTTGCCTAAAGCCCCATTATTTCCATTCTGTCACAAGAAATACATGACAGTGCACAGACAATATGTGTGGGTGTGTTTGCTACCCTCTGCCAAGTAAGTGTGATGCTTTGATCAGCAAGTTTCTGAAATGCTCCCATCCTCAGGTATTACACAGCTTACAGTGATAATAAATACAGTATCTTCATCTTTATGATTTAGAGCAGATGTTTCCAAGGTGGGCCTCCCCAGGGGGACTCCTAACAGTTTCAGGGGAGGCCCAGTAATAGAATGTGAAAGGAATACTAACCAGGGTATTGCAGTAGTTATCTAAAGGAAGTCATGTAGAATAGGTTTAATGTGCGTGATCTGTTTAAAGAGAGAGTT